CTTCCTCAAATATGGAAAGAAGGTTAGAGTTAGGATCCTTTTTTAATTTCTAACAGAAGCTTTCCTTAATTCACAGATTACTGCGCACTGTTTCGTAATTGCTCTTCAGGAGATAGACATGGCTTCATTTGCATGTGTCATTTCCCAGTTAGTAGCTCTGAAAGATTTGTGTGCCTTGAGGGAAAACAACATAAAACAAGGAAGTCTGCAGTAACACATTTAACTTAAGAAAAGGAAGCATTCCTTCACATTTGATCAGACTCTCTCACACACGATAAGCTTCTGAGACATTGACACTGCACTCCTTAACATGTGCACTCCAAAGAAACATTGTATATTGGTTTTGGCTGAATGTTGAACAGAACTGTATCTTTGAGGTCTGGGTTGAAGTGGAATAGCCAGATTTGGTAGTGGAGCAACGTGCTTTCTCTGAGGTCTGGAGCATTTCAGATTGCTCTGGAGCGTCTACAAGGAACCAGGAAAAGACAAACAGTGCATCTTCAACAAAGTGGTAGGATCAGAAGGTCAGCTAGGTTGGCTCTTTGACAGTTCTCGATGTGCATCTGAGGCAAGAGTTTTACTGCCAGTCTCCAGTCATAGTCCTTAAGAGGAGGGATTGTGTGAGGTCACCAAAATTACATATTCAGTCACCTTATTATGCAGCTCTTCTGCATTCCTCTGCTAGCTTTTGTGAGTTCAAGCAGTAGAGTAGAAGACCTCAGACAATGTAGTAGTGTTGATTGTAGTCTGAGTTTAATCTGAATCATTTTTGGCCTAATCATCCTATCTTTTGTCTTGTTAATGTAATTTGAGTAGGCTTTTGCCCAATCCTTCTTTCAGCTTTCTAATTTGTTTATTTGTCTGGCAAAAATCTCTTTATAGAACAGATCCATGTATAGAAGCAAACTGTGCCAGATCTGTTTTCTTCATATGGTTCATTAAACAGAGCCATGTGATTCAATATGTATGGGTGTGTAATGTGTAGTTACCTGAATTCTGCAAGAAACTATGTATTTTATTCACAAAGCACATATGTTACAGTCATATTATACATCTAATTTATGTTGTAAATGTGAATCACAACAAGAACGATTTTGATTGTCCATTCCATTCATGTGTGTGAGAGCAAATCATATTGAATGTTCAATCCATTATGTTTCCTCATTTCAATTCAACAGTTATTATTATATTACCACTACATGTCTTCATTAGTTTCACTTAAACAACCATGCAGTAAAGTAATAAAACCATTAAAATGTAGCAGTTAGTCTTTAACTTGTCACAACATCTCTCTCTCTCTTTGTTTTTTGTTTTGTTTCTTGCTAAAACGCTTGGACAGATTAACATGACTGCAACTCCAAAGACATACACATGGTACCTTTATGGCCAGAGGAAAGCAGATGGCAATGGGAATAAGCCTGCTTCCACTGTCTGAAGGGCTCTATTTCAGCCTGAATATCTGATGCAGGGAGCAGCTACAACCTGATAGATTAAGTCTCTGAAGAGCAAGACTGAGCAGTCAACTGAGCATATATCTTTTTAAAGGGAGAGAGACTTTAAAAGTGAGTAGATTCCTGAACACATGTATGTGTTTTGTCTGCGTTATTGTTTTTTTCCCAATCTTTTTAAAGGGAGAGAGACTTTAAAAGTGAGTAGTATTTAAGATTCCTGAACACATGTATGTTTTTTTGTCTGGGTTATTGTTTTTTCCCCACTGATATAGAAGAAATTGGAGACTGAGATGAAAGAGGAGGATAAACTTGCCAAATTTCAGACCATCAAACAATAACTCAGACAAAAAAATACATGTGTTGGTTTTCCTGTGAAAATAATGGGAAACACTGATGATCCAGCTTTCCAAATCAGTTCAGATTTGGGCCTGAAAGAAAACAGATGAGATCTAGATAATTTCTGACTAAATCAGGAACTGATCAAAAGAATGAAATCTGCCGCCCACAGTTCCACTCAGAATTATTGTTTATGTCAATGAGAAAGCATGAAGAGGTTTTGGACTTCAGCTACCATAGTGTTGGATGGATGACAGGCTCTTCTGTGCCTGCCGCCCACAGTTCCACTCAGAATTATTATTTATGTCAATGAGAAAGCATGAAGAAAGACTGACTATCTGGAGGTTTTGGACTTCAGCTACCATAGCGTTGGATGGATGACAGGCTCTTCTGTGCAGGCTTTGATTGGATAGGTCAAAGTAGCACTGGAGACTAACTTTCTCCCTCTTGCTACTACTTTATTTTAATTTTTAAATGCCCACTGCCGATTTTTTGTGTGTGATTTCTTGATTGATTAATTACAGATTCATCCCACCCACACCCACCCCATGCCTGTAGTGGGTATCTGTGTGCAAACCCTGATTTGACACTCTTGGACAAGTGAGAGTGTTAATTGGGGGCAGTAAGGGGACATCTTCCCCACCCCAACCACATGGGGGCAGGGGGCAGAAAGAAAGATTGGTAGGAGATCTGCCTACAAACCAAATGGTCACTGTGTTTCCAAAGTTGATGGCACTGTGTAGTGAAACACACAAACACACACAATCTCAAGGCATAGCCCTTGGTTTCCCATATTTTCAGGGCTTTCCCCCTTCTGATCTGGAAACGTACAAAGACATGACATAAAATCTTCAAAAACTCAGGAAGAAACCAGTTTAGGCCACTGTAAAATCAGCTTGGAGCAGGTTGGTTGTGATGTGCATGGCGAATATTTTGGATGCAAATGGGATAGAGTTTACACACCCCCTCCTTCAGGGCCTTGGCTTGGCCCTTTTGGTTTCATTGGGGCCCCCCGACACCACCACAGCAAAGTCTTGCAGGATTGTGGCCACAGTGGGTATGGAAGGGTTGCCTTTTGGTCTGGGGGGGGCTGAATGTGGCTCCTGGGCCACACACTGCCCATTCTTTTTTTTTTTAATTAAAAAGTACAAAAAATACAAAAAAAAATACGAAAAATACAAAATACCTACTACTACAAAAAAACAAACAAACTATAAATTACGAGACTATAAATTACAAAACATAACAGTGGACCCATCACCCTCAGGACTAGCATTACACTTCTTTCCATCCATTTTCATTCCAAAATTTCAGTGTTTCTTCACTCGGTGTATACCCCCTCCCTCTCTGAAATACATGTTCTAAAAATACGTTCCATATTTTTTTAAAGTCATTATTTTTCATTTGGCCCCTGCTTATTTTCATATCGCATGTCAGTTTATCATTAATAGCCATAACCCACAATTCTCTATACCTTTCCTCAAAGTTAAATTGATTTTCATTTCTCCAATTCCTTGCCATAATTATCCTTGCAGCTGTAATCATTATTATTATTAAATCCTTATTTTCATTCACCAATTGATCTTTACTCAAATTCAATAAGGCTGTTATTGGGGACATTGAAATATTCAATCCCATAATTTCAGTTATTTCCCTAAATATTACTTTCCATTCTTTCTTTCTTTTTTCACATAGCCACCACATATGTAAATACGTCCCCTTCTCTTTTTTACAACTCCAACATAATGATGACACAGTTTT